TCCAGCGCGTCGGAGACTCCTTCGCAAGGAAGCAGGGCCAGGGAGCTGGCGGCGGCAGGGGCTTGGGGGAGTGGCGTGCGCTTCTTCCCTTAGGACTAGAGGGGGAAAAGCTTCGGACTGCGAGCTGCAGGAAGCCTTGGGAGTGAGCATTGGGAACAATTTGGAACAGCTCTAGGGTTCTGGATCCCAGAAGCCCAAAACGGTCTCTTAAAAGAGATTGCGGGAAAGGCCGGCGATTTGTTCTAGAAGAATTATGTCTGTGGTTCCTAAGCACCAGATCGTCTACCCTCTGTTTGAAGTGTCCTATCCATCCCTCACCTCTTCTGACAGGTAGGTAAATTAGTGACTCAGAGGCCCTCCCAGTCCCGCCTGAAATACTCCTCTCCCCAGCGCCATGCACTGGAATGTTTCAAATGCAAGCCAAATGGGAGAGACTTCTGCAGCCTCCAGTTCAAAAAGGCAATGGAATAAAGATTTACCGTGATAAAGATGGAGTGATGGAGCTGGGCACAGTAGTTCTCTGGGAGACAGAGGTAGAAAGATCACAAGTTCAAGCCCAACCTAGGTAATTCAGACCCTGTCTCAAACAGTAAAGTTTTTTAAAAGGGCCAGACATGCAGCTCCCTGAGAAGACCCTGGACTCAATCCCCAAGAACACACACACACACACACACACACACACACACACACACACGGAATTGTGCGCTGCTATATTGGCACTGTTTGGGTTGGGTTGGTTAATTTGCGTTTTTAGATATTCTTAGACTGAGGTGTTTAGCAATATTTTAGACCAGTTAATTTTTTTTAACAAATTGGGCTATTTGATGAAGGGAAATCATGAAACAACACTTTTTTCACACTACTTTCTCTTAAAATTATTCTGCTCTCCCTTTTCCTCTTGAAGAAACTAGGGCAGATTTTATAGCTTTCCTGTCACTTCCAGGTGTTTAATGAACAGTTGGGTTTATTTTTATTACAAAGTCCAGTGCAGTCAGCATCATAACTTGCATCTCATTCCACTTAAGCCTTTCCTGCTCTCCATCCATCAGCCTGATCCATGCCCAGAAACCTATGGACAGGGAGAAGCCCTCTGCTGGTCTTCACTTTGCTATCCTATGTCCTCCTGGCTATCCTGAGAAGCTCTTGTTCTCCAGGGTAGGTGAGGGTGGCTGCCCCAGCCCAGCTCACACAGACCTGCAGGGCAGTGGGCCCTAGGAGGCTGATCTGACAACCTCCCACTACATCCACTCTGGCCCACAGGCAGCAGTCTCTGAGATCACATTGTCCCACACTCCTGGTGACACATACCAGGCTCTCCAGAGAGTTCTCCAGGAGTACATCTTCCTTTGCTTGAAGTGGGTGAGGCCTCCCAATCCTTGACATCTCCCCCCACCCACCTATCCTTTAGTTGGGGCTGAGGTGGCAGACCACTTGACTAGCAAATCCTAGAAGGATGGCCCAGTGCCTCTACTTATTTGTAGAGATGCCTATGCCTGTGGCGACATGAAGGTGAGCCACTAAGATCTCCGCAGCGTAACTACATGACAGTCTGCAGCTGCCACACCTTAAGATCCTCTATAGTGCTCACACCAAGGCCACAAGTCTCCCACTGTTCCCAGCATTGTGGAAACACTAGAGCTGTGCCATTTCCACCTGAAGCAGGTTCTCTCCAATCTGGAACTCACGATCCCCCAGGATTCTCTCAGGACTGCAGGCCATCTGGAGGTCTTCCTCCATCATCCTCCTTTGCCCTCTCCATTCCCAAGAGGTGGCCCTGCATGCCATGTGCCCCCTCCCTTCTTCTGTTCCCTGCAAGGATGCTTTAAGTACACAAGTCCCTTAATTATAAAAGGGATGGAGTTTGCATATATCCTATGCACATTCTCCAGTAGACTTCAAGTCATTTCTAGTTTGGCAAATATTTTTACAACAATAGGTGGGATGAGCTAAGCTGATAAGGAATTTGACCCTCCCCACGTGAAACCTTTCTCTTTTTGTATTACTACTCAGTTCTCAAAGAACCAGGATGTCTTCAGCTGATGTAATCTTGCCCTTGAGCATCACAGCATCACAGAACCATTGAGGCCTCAGCTGTGACTGGAGGCAAAATGGAGTTATTTTTTGGCATATTATAGCTGACCAACAAGAAGACTAGGCCTCATACAGCCCTATTCATAATTTAATTGTAAAATGATTCTTTCTGCAAAATTATGTAGAATGGCTCCCAACAGTCTGTATTTTTCAGCTCAGGCTGAGCTGAGCTGACTTGGGATACAACCTAGAGTCAGTGCTGTGATTATTTGGGTTTGCAGTGAGAAGCACAGCATAATGTTGAAGGCACTTGCTTTACATGAGATTTTTACAGGAAATCAAGCAAGCCAGAGGGAGTGGGCTGCTTCAACCAGTCCAGATGGCTCAAACAAATCTAGGAATTCAGAATAGGCATGTCAACCCAAACACCCCTCCCCAGTATCAGTACCTTACATGTGTCATATTAGGACCCCAACTTGGACATGGGAGACTAGCTGAGGCTCTGCCTTCAGTCCCTTAGTAGCTCTGCCAAAGTTCTTATAACCGCTTTTTTTTTTTTTTTGTACTGAGGATCAACCTTGCACTTGCAAGGCAGACGGTGGGACCACTAAGCTAAATTCCCAGCCCTCTTATAGTCTTTTGATGTGTGAGATTGGGGTGGGGGTACTAATGATTAAACACATCATCTTCGCATTGAGCTACAGCCCCAGCCCTTTTTGTTTTCCTGAGATAGGATCTTGATAAATTGCTAAATTGTCCCAGAAGGGCTGGAGTTTGCACTCCCTCTGCCTTAGGCTCTCCAAAGTGCTAAAATCTATTGTAAATCTCAATACTTCCACTTCAACCTTTTCCTCAGTCCTTTCCACCACACAAAAAAATCCTAGTAATTTTAATGCTACTACGTGCCAGAGTTAACACTCTCAATTTCTACTTCAGTAGAGTCCTTACTGCAGACTACCCAGGAAGGGATCCAATAACCAATATCAGTCTTGAAATGGCTGCTTTCTACGGCCACTTCTCAAACTGATTTTCCTAGCAAGGGTTCCACTGAAAGCAGAGCTTGAGAGAGCAGGAGGGGTGGCAATCACTGCACCAAGGATCCCAGGCCAGCTGATCTACAGATTTCTGGACTTCTTATCCTGGACCTGTGCAAGGTTTAGGGTGGCACTCAGACATTCCCATGCAATGACACAGGGACTGTACTTCCTCATTCTGAACCCACCACCCAACTGCTAAGTGTTTCCCACAAGGCCTGGCTCACATGTGAGGGCTCTGGACCTCCCTCCCATCTACTCCTTATCACTCTGCTGCTCCTCTGGAAAGAAGGGAACACCTTTCACCCAGAGTAGGGAAAGCAGAACAGGACAAGTAGAGGCAGAAAGGGACACTTCCTTGGCCTCTGAAAGTGTCACCTGGAGCCAGCCTTCACTGTTAGTCTTTAGCTCCCCAGCAGTTCATTAAGCATCAGCTGCAGCTCTTAAATATTACCACTGCCACCTGCCCCCAGTGTAGATCACATGCAGTACTTGGTAACTGTTCTTGCAACCTGTGTGTGATTTGCCCTTGACACTAATATTCAAGAGTGCAGGAACTTAATTTTGTTCTTCTGAAATTCAATTGCAATTTAGAGTACTAGAGTTAATATCCTAAAAGCCCTAGCACAAACTGGGTTGTCTGGTTTTGCCTCAGTGTTAGACTTTTTTATGTTTGCTACGAAGCTGTTTGCGCTCTCATTTGACGCTGCTTCTTTTGGTTTCTTGTGACATAAAGTATGGGAAAAAAATGCAAAATCATAAATTCTGTCCCTAGACCTAAGATAAATTCCCTCAGGCAATTCTATTTGCCATAGCTGAAGCATGAGTAAAATAAAAATGACTATAATCCTCTTTCGTGCTGTTTGAATTTCAAATGGATTATGAGTCTCTTGAGAATGTGACATTAATTTAGTGATATAAGTAAAATAATACATATCTAAAGACATGGTCTTTGCTTTTCTCTGCTTGTTTTATGTACTTATGGTGGAATAAATCCAGTTATTGTGGCAAAGCCTCCTGAAGTGTATCCACAGAGGGGCTTGGGTTGTGCATGCCTGTAGTCCCAGCTACTCCAGAGGCTGAAGGACTCAGAAGGTTAAGGAGGCTCAGGAAGAATGCCAGGTTTAATACCAGCCTGTGGGAGAGGGGAGGGGAGGGGGAGGGAGAGAGAGAGGGAGAGATCCCCATCTCATCTCAAATAAATTTCAAAATATATTTTAATGTATACATATGCTTTAACACAATGTATAGCATACAAAGGATCCTTCTCAAGAAGCTTTGTATGTTCAAACCAGTTTTCCTAATGATTCAGATTTCCTACTTGTTATTTTATTCTATAGTTTCTAAAATCCTAATCATAAAAGACCTTGCAAGA